ATCACTAGGTCGCCGACTAGGTCATCCCCAGTAGCCAGCACCAGGTCGAGCAGCGCTTTGCCTCTTGTTGGCCCATAGACTTCTTGAGTCAGGAAGAGGTCATCCACGCAACGAGAGGAAGCTTTGCGACCGCTCAGATTTTGCTGAGCGATCCTCCCACGAGATGTCTGGGTAATTGAAGTCACCCATGACAGCCATGGTCCTGGAGCAAGCTGCCTCAGCCAGTTCCTGGGCAAACTCCTGGTCAAGCTCAGGACTTTGGGTGGGAGGTCTGTAATAGACTCCCACCATTGTGTCCCCTGTGCCGTGTTCCCCACGGATTTTAACCCAGAGGGTCTCCAGCCGTCCACCCTGGTCGCCAATATCAGCTTGCAGGGACGTGTAGCTTTCCTTAACATAGAGAGCTACCCCCCCCGCCCCTTTTCTCTACACGATCCCTCCTGTACAGGGTATAGCCATCTATCCCCGTGGTCCAGTCATGGGTGGAGTCCCACCAGGTCTCCGTTATCCCTATGACATCGTAATTGTTTGTACTGAGCATGAGGATGAGCTCCTCCTGCTTATTCCCCAAGCTCCTGGCATTAGTGTACAGGCAGGCAAGTGCCCCCTGGGGGGCTCCTTCCTTGCCCACAGATTTTACCAGGGCTGGGGCAGGGGTGGGCTACCTGAAGCGCCATGATCCGCTGGCTTTGTAAGGATTGCTCAGCGGGCCAGCAGTGGCGGTAGTCCCCCCGTCCCCCAACGGGCTTAGTTTAAAGCCCGGTGGAGCAGGTCAGCCAGTCTGGCTGAGAAGAGCCTCCTCCCTAGGGGAGAGAGGTGGAGGCCATCCCTTCCCAGCAGCTCGCTGCCTCTCTCACCACACAACTTGCAGGTAGCTGTGTTCCTCTGGGGGGGTGTGGGTATAAGCCCTTCATGTTGCCCCCTCAGGCTCAGGGCACCTCATGGAGGATGGTAGGGGCATGGAGATGAGACTTACGCTGCCCCCCACCCCCAGGGTACCTGATGGAACGCAAGAAAAAGGGCAGCATGCGGTGGATGAAGCTGAATTTCGAGGTGTACACGGACACCACTTACGAATCCACCAAGATGATTGAGGGCGTGCTGTATGAGATGCGTGTCTTTGCTGTCAACGCCATCGGGGTCTCCCAGCCCAGCCACAACACCAAGCCCTTCATGCCCATTGGTGAGGCCGGGGTGGGGGTAGGGGTTGTTCTGTGGGAAGGCATAGAAATCATAGAGGAATTAGGCTAGAAGAGGGACCTCCAGAAGTCATCTAGTCCAACCCCTTGACTGAGGCAGAATCAGCCCCAGCCAAACAATCCTGTACAAATCCATTGTCTAATCTCTTAGTAAAGTGGTGCCCACCCTGACACAACACAGGACATTACACCCAGACCTGCCACAGGTAAAGCAGGGGGACTGCAGTAGCCAATGTCCTGCTGCTGGAAAAGGTTGTTAATATGCACTCAGGAGATCCCAGTTAGAGGCCACATCCCCACTACAGAGGAAGGCAAACAACCCACAGTCTGCATTTGAACTGACCAGGGAGTAAAATTCCTTCCTGACCTCAAATATACCCATTAGTCTGACTGAGAGGAGGAGCAAGACCCTTTAGCCAGGAACCTGCTTTGGTCCCAGCAGGAGCCCTGGCACAGCCCAGTCCCAGTCTCTGTGCTGTGGGGGTGGGTGGGCAGGGGGCCCAGGCTTGGGGCTATGTGGATAGGGGCTGTGAATAGTTTTGAGGGGGCAGTGGGAGATGTTGGGGGGGGTACATTTCTCTGCAGAGGAGCTCTGATCTCCCCTCCCTCCCCCCACCCTGCAGCCCCCACCAGTGAGCCGACCCACCTGACCCTGGAGGACGTGACAGACACCACAGCCACCTTGAAGTGGCGCCCACCAGACCGGATCGGGGCTGGTGGCATTGATGGCTACCTCATCGAGTACTGCCGGGAAGGCTGTGAGTGATATCTGTAGGGCTGGGTTGGACCTTGGGGTGGAGGGAATGCCCTGTGGCTGTACCCTTTCATAAGCCCATGGCACGTCCACACCTTACATCCTGTACCCAGTTCTGCTTCCCACACCACAAGAAGAATACAGGAGAACTAGAGGTGGTTTAGAGAAGGTCAACAAGGATGATCAGGGGCATGGAGGGGCTTCTATATGAGGAGAGACTAAAGAGGCCAGGCCTGTTCAGTTTAGAAAAGAGACACTTGAGGGGGTACATGAGAAGGGTTTACAAAATACTAAATGGTGGAGGAAGTCAATAGGGATTTATTATTTACTATCTCTCACAAGACAAGAACTAGGGGTCACAAAATGAAGCCAGTAAGTTGTAAGTTTAAAATAAACAAAAGGAAGTTCTCTCTCACCCAACATGTGATTCAGGTGTGGGACTTGGTGCAACCAGAGGTGGTGGATGCTGACAGTTCAGCCAAATTCAAGAAGGGATTGGACAAGTTCTTGACAGAAAGGGGCATCAAATAGTTATTGAGCATGGGAGTTAGGGGCACAGCCTCTGAATCAGAACTTCCTGGACCTTAAATGCTGGAGGCTGCAAGTGAGAGAGGAACAGTGGGGACAAAACCCTGGTCACACCCAATTCACTCTCATTTTCAGCATCCGCTCTCTGTCCCTGTGTGACAGAGGGGCCTGGGCAAGGTGATTTGTGGGCTGACCCAGTACATGGCTGTTGTTAATTGGTCCCATGTGGCCAAGGCTGGGAGAGACCCCTAGGATCAGATGGGGCGGCCTGACCCATGCTGTGATCTCTGACCTGGTGGGCCCTGCTCCTTTCGCCTTGCCTTTTGACCCTCACCCCCCTTGCCCTGCCCTGTGCCCCCTCCCCACAGCGGATGAATGGATCCCGGGCAACACAGAGCTGGTGGAGCGCTGTGGCTTCATGGTGAAGGGGCTGCCCACAGGTGAGAAGCTCATGTTCCGTGTCACCAGCGTGAACATTGCCGGCCACAGCCAGCCAGCCACCATGGCGCAGCCTGTCACCATCCGGGAGATTGTTCGTAAGTGACCCTCCTCCCCCCATGGGAGAATCCACCCCTCCCCTCCCATGGGCATAGACCCCTGCCCCACAAGGGGAACTCCCCACCTCCAACTGCTTCCTGTGGCATCTCCTGCCCCCTTTAACACTCCCTCTCAACCCCAGAGCAGCCGAAGATCCGCCTGCCTCGGCAGCTGCGTCAGACCTACATCAAGAAGGTGGGGGAGCAGGTCAACCTGGTTATTCCCTTCCAGGTGAGCTGTGGTAGGGAGAGGAGGAGGGGGAGGGATGGGGGTTGGATGCCTTAAGAGTCTTCAGGGTCCCTGCTGGGCAATGCTACCGGGAAGCTCACAGCAAGGGATCCCTGATGCGGGCACTGCTCTAGGGAATCTTGCAGCAGGGACTCCCTGGTGAGGGCACAGTTCTGGAGAAGCTCGCAGTAGGGTAGTTCCAGTTGGGGCACTGCTCCAGGGAAGCTTGCAGCAGGGGACATCTAGGCAGGGCATTGCTTTGGAGAAGTTCACAGCAGGAGACCCCTGGCTGGGGCACTGCTAAGGGGAAGCTCGCAGTAGTGAATCCCTGGCCAGGTCACTACTCAGGGAAAGTTTGCAGTATCGTGACACCCCCCACCCCTCCAACCCCTAGGGTAAGCCACGGCCCAAGGTAACGTGGAAGAAGGACGGGCAGCCCCTGGACCCCAAGGAGATCAGTGTGCGCACATCCGACTTGGACACAATTCTCTTCATCCGCTCAGCTGCCCGGCACCACTCGGGCCAGTACGAGCTGTTGGTGCAGATCGAGAACATGGAGGACAAGGCCACCATCAAGATCCGCATCGTGGGTGAGAGCTGTGGAGGGGAGCAGGCCAGGGGGGAGCCAGGATGTGGGGGGGCAGGGCAACTGGGGTGAGAGGTTGGGGGCTGGGGTCTCTGCTGCCAGTGTCCCCTGCTGCTTCATGTTCCCTTTTCCCTGTAGGGGTGGTAGTGGGGGGCAGCTGAGCCCCCCAGCCCCTCCTTCCCACCTCCTCCAACCCTGGTGTGTGCATTGGGAAGGAGGGCTGTGCCCTGTTCTATATTTAGGGTCCTGTGATGGGCCAGGCCAACTGTGCCCCCTCACCTCCCCCCTTTCTGCCTCCCATAATCCTCTTATTGGAGCCTTTGAAGTGGAGGGTGGGAGGGGGAGCTGGGAGCCCACCTGCGATGCATGTGCTGGGGCTTGTCAAGCTGCGGGGGGCAGGTTAGTCCTGCAGGGTGGGAATGGAGGGTAGGCCAGGGTGGGCTCTGCCCACCCACAAAGGTTGAGGGGCTCTATAGCCCCTTGGGGGACCTATTTTTCTTGGTACAAATGCCCCCCTCTATCCTGACTCCCCCCACTGTGCTCCCCCACCCAGAAAAGCCCGGGCCGCCACAGGCAGTGATGGTGAAGGAGGTCTGGGGCTTCAATGCGTTGGTGGAGTGGGAGCCCCCCAAGGACGATGGTAACTCTGAAATCATGGGCTATGCCATCCAGAAGGCCGACAAGAAGACCATGGTGAGAGGGACCCCTTGTTCTTTCTCTCACCAATCCAACCCTCCCACTGCCTCTGCCCTGAACCCCCTCACCTAGGGGCATATCCCAGCCCCCTCTTTGAAGATCTCAGGCCAGAAGATCATTGCAAAAGGGGATCCCTGTCCTGGCTCCCCAATACATGAGATTCTCCACAGCCCCTCATCCTGAGGCCCCCTTCCCCATTTGTGGTTGTAAGCTATGCTCTGCAGAAAGTCATCAGTGTGATACCCCTTGGTGACCGTCCCTACCTCCATGCCCCCCAGGAGTGGTTTACGGTGTACGAGCACAACCGGCTAACACGCTGCACCGTGTCAGACCTGATCATGGGCAACGAGTACTACTTCCGTGTGTACAGCGAGAACATCTGTGGGCTCAGCGACTCGCCTGGTGTCTCCAAGAACACTGCCTTCATCCACAAGACAGGTCTGATGGATATTGGGGTTCTGACAGGCCAGAGCAGGGCTGGAGCCATTCAGCCAGCAGGAAGGGGTTGGGAGATGGCACACCTTGATTCTCTCCCCAGGCTGGGGGTGCATGGGGTCTAGCGGGTTAGAACAGGGCTGGGAGCTAGGGCTCCTGGGGTCTCTCCCAGCATTGGAGCAGTAGCGTCTCAAGGGCTGGAGCAGCAGAGCTGGGAGCCCAGACACCTGGGTTGCACACCAGCTTTGTGAGTGTGGCTATAGCAGGGAGGCTGGGAGCATGGATACCTGGGTTCCAGTGGGGTGGACCTAGCCAGGCCAGGGAGGGGAGTGGGGGGCATGGGACTGGCTCTCCATGTCCTCACTCACCACCCTTCTTTTGGTGCCCCCACCCAGGGATCATGTATAAACCCATGGACTACAAGGAACATGACTTCAGCATGGCGCCCCAAATCTTGACACCCCTGGTTGACCGCACCGTGGTGGCTGGGTACAGCACAGCCCTGAACTGCGCAGTGCGGGGGCACCCCAAGGTACACAGTCCCTCTTGGTCAGGGACTCTCCACCCAAAATTTTCCCACCCACTGGGGTCTGGGGAGGACACCAACACCCTGAACCTGGTAACATGAAAGGCTGGAGGTGAAGCCTGACCTTCCCCTGGCCCCAGACTGGTCCTCTCTGGAAGGAGGTGTTCATAGAGTGCCAGGGGAAGCTTGTAGTTTATCTTTGGGATCACACACTTGATTGTGGGGTAGGTGAGATTGGGGATCCCTCCCCCCAGTGTGGATGTAGGTGGAAGGTAGTTGAGGGACTGGGGATCCTCCCCAGTGTTGGTGTAGCTGTTGGATAGCTAGTGGACTGGGGGTTTCCCTCCTGGTCAAGTGTGGGGGGTAGGTGGGAGGGGTCTGAGGTCTCTGCCCCCCTTGTGTGTGGGGTGGGGTGGGGGTCACTTGCCCCCCACCGTGGTTGGGGGAGGTTGGAGGCTGTATGATGCCCCTCTCCTCCATCCATGATGCTCCTCCCAGCCTAAGGTGATCTGGATGAAAAACAAGATGGAGATCCGTGAGGACCCCAAGTTCCTGATGAAGAACAACCAGGGTGTCCTGACACTGCACATCCGCAAGCCCAGCCCCTTTGATGGGGGCACCTACAGCTGCCGGGCTGTCAACAACCTGGGTGAAGCCCTCACTGAATGCAAGCTTGAAATCCGAGGTGCCTGCTAGGCTGGGGAGCGGGCACGGGGAAGCTGGCAGGGCTGGAGGGGCAAGGGGCAAGCTGAGGGTGTGAGGTGTCTATGGGCTGGGAGGGGGTGGGGAGGATGAGAGGTGCCCATTGGGTGGGCAGGGAGGAAGGGGGTGGCTGGAGGCAGGGCTGCCTGTCTGCCTACCTAAGCC